GCTTCCGTCCACATATACCTTCCAGACTTGGTCTGGAACTTGAGAGTCAGGAGGACGAGTCATCTCTACAATAAAGTCAGCAAAGGCTTGCCCCTTCACTGCTTTTCTAGGCTCGAAAGTAACTTCGAGACTCTGCATTTCTATGGCCCATTTGATCATTCGTCCGGAGGACTCCATGGTGGTAAGGGGCCGCTTGATCGGTTGGTCGGTATACACGACGACTGCATGTGCCAGAAAGTAGGGCTTCAATTTTTTAACAGCCATGAAGAGTGCAAGACCAAATTTCTCCACTAGGGGATACCTCAACTCGGCATTTTTTAGTACGTGACTGACAAAGTAGACCGGGAGTTGACAGCCGTCCCTTTCAGCAAGGAGTACCGCGCTTAACGCATGATCAGAGACGGCCAGGTACATGTACAGATTTTCTTTGGGCAAAGGGCTGACCAGCCTCGGCAAGGAATGCAAGTGAACCTTTAATTTCTGGAAGGCGGCCTCAGCATCCGGCCCCCATTCAAACCTTGCCTTTTTCTTAATTGCCTGGAAAAAGTATAGACATTTGTCGCCTGATCGGCTTAGAAATCTTCCCAAGGCCGCCAGACAACCTGTTAACTTCTGAACCTCTCGAACGGTACGAGGCGACTGCATGTCAATGACCGCCTGTACCTTCTCGGGGTTCGCCTCTATTCCTCTCTGGTTGATAAGGAATCCGAGAAATTTCCCAGACTCAACTCCAAATACACATTTCTTGGGATTGAGCATGACATGGTGCCGCCTGAGTGTGGCGAAAGTTTCTCGGAGGTCCGTCAGATGATCCTTCTGAAGTTTAGTCTTGACAATCATATCATCAATGTATGCCTCGACGTTTCTCCCAATCTGATCAAAGAACACTGTGTTTATCATTCGTTGGAAGGTAGCCGGGGCATTCTTAAGACCAAACGGCATGACCGTGTAACAGTATAATCCCTGATCAGTGACGAAGGCCGTCTTCTCCTGATCTTTCTTCCACAAAGGAATTTGATGAAAACCAGAATAGGCGTCCATAAAACTCATCAAGGCATGGCCGGCTGTTGAGTCGACCAGGTTATCAATTTTAGGCAGAGGGTAACTGTCTTTGGGGCACGCCTTGTTCAAGTCTGTGTAGTCTACACACATTCGCCAGGTGCCATTCGGCTTTTTAACAAGCACCACATTTGCAACCCAATCTGGGAAGTAACATTGCCGAATGAACCCTGCATCAAGTAATTTTTTGACTTCGGCGGCTGCCGCCTGACCTCTTTCTTCACCATGGTTCCGTTTCTTTTGTCGTACCGGCTTCTTTTTCGGATCCACAGCGAGTTTGTGTACTGCCAGATCAGGGCTAATGCCTGGCATTTCATGGACTTCAAATGCAAAGATGTCCTTGTATTCTTTCAACAGGTTGTGAAAGTCGTCACCAAGGTTTCTCAGAGCAGTCGTCCCTACTTTAACTGTTCGGTCAGGATGAGAGTCGTCTAATATCAGGTCCGCATGCTCACCAGCCGGCTGAGGGCGGAACTCATCCGGCCGGTCCTCTGCCAATGATTGCTATTTTCTTGCTTTTCTTGCGGACTCAGTCTGGGGTGCCTTTCTCTTTTTGTCGCCTGTTTCTGCAACAGGCGCACTTTCCTTGACATTGTCAAGGTCTGTTTTTTCTCCACTTGACCCAGTGGCCATAACCGTGGGCTTGACATCCGAGAGATAGCACTCTCGGGCCATCCTCTGATCTCCCCTTAGGGAGCCGACTGTTCCATTGTCCCTTTCAAACTTAAGCAGCATAAGTGACGGGATTATAACAGCCTTAGAATTATTCAGGGTTGGTCGACCCAGAATCATGTTGTAGGCCGAGAGTTCCTCTACCACTAGGAACCGGACTACCATGTGTCGTCCTTCCCCTTTTTCTCCCAGGCGGATGGGTAGATCTACTCGTCCCAGTGGATGGACGACTCCTCCTCCAAAACCTATTAAAGGGTGGGAGGCCGGATGTATGCAGTCCGTCTGATATTTCAGTTTTGACAGACATTTGCTGCTGATGAGATCTGAAGAGCTCCCGGTATCTATGAGGATTCGACCAACTCTCTGGTTGGCCACTTTACATTCAATAACGAGAGGGTCGTCATGCGGCCCCCTTATTCCTCCTAGATCCTCTTCAGTGATGATAATCTCAGGAAATGTATATTTAGACGGTCGTTCTTGGTGAACGGAATTTACATCTAACCGCCTTATATTATCTTTGTTGCCCCTAATAGTGGGGCCGCCTCCTGAGAAGCCGCCTGCAATGGTGTAGACGACTGCATCATCTGTATCGGAACTGTCGGCCTGTTGATTCCTTTTGGCCGACTGCTTTTTTGAGGAAGTGTTCCCCGTAGATTTCTTGACATAAGTGTCAAGATCACCTTGATCAGCCAAGCGGTCCAGGTACCGCATGAGACTGATGCAGTCATTGGTGTGATGACCAATGTCATCATGATAAGCACAGATTTTGTCTTGGTTCCGGTTGCTCGCAGAACCCTTCATGGGGAGCGGCTTCTCAATTGAGAGCCGTCCCTTTATTTCTTTTAGGATAAACTGGTTATCCTTGTTAAACACATATTTTGGGGAGTATGGTTTGAATTCTTTTTTCTTTTTCTGGGCCGGCTGTTTAGAGGAATCAGCCGCCCAGACCCCTTTTCTTTTTTCATCTTTGTTGGACGACTGTTTCTGTCGTCCCTCTCTATTGTCGAACCTCTTCCCGTCCGATTGTTTCATCGTACACAGATCAGTCGCCTGTATATAGGCTTCTGCTTCAATCAAGGCCTCTTGAAGAGTCGCCACCCTTTTTCGAACTAAATCAAATTTGAAGGTAGACCCGTCTTTGAGACCTCTAAAAAAGTCAGTATAAGCTACCTCATCCGGTAACCCTTGAATCTGTATTCTCATCAGGTTGAACCGCCTGATGTAGGAACGAAGCCCCTCCTTTTCACCCTGCTGAATTGTTCCCAAATCAAGGGTTGTTTTCTTCGCAGGGATGTTCATAGCGAAGTTGGAGGTAAATAAGTAAGCAAGCGTCCTGAAGCTGTTTACACAACCAGTCGGCAGGTTGCCGAACCATTGCTGTGCAATTCCCTTGAGAGTCGCTGGGAAACACTTGCACCAAGTGGGATCATCCAACCCTTGAAGGTACATCAGGTTGGTGAATGCCATCAGATGGTCTTCTGGGTTAGTAGTGCCGTCATAGGCGCCTACTAGAATATTTTTTACTTTGGCCGGCTGAGCGGCTTCAGTAATTTCCTTGGAGAAGGCCGTCGGCTGTTCACCAAGTCTAAGCAGCCGTAGCTGCCAGTCCATAGGTTGGACGTTTTTTGCTGCAGGTCCACCAAATGGAGGTGGCTGCATAAAATACTGTTGTTGCGGCACAAATGGTAAGTTTGGTACCGCCTGGGCACTATGAAAGCCGGACTGACGGGAGGTGCCGCCTGACTGACTCTCATGGTACGACTGAGTTGGCCTCATAGAGGCATTTCGCAAACTGTCCTGAAAATTTGAAGTAGAAGCCGACTCTGATAATCGGTCACTCTTCTTCTGCTCTAGCAGGTGCCGAGCATCTGTGAACGTTTGCTTTGACCCGTCCGCCTGAATATGACGAACCGGTTTCCTATTTCCCGTAGGATAACGGAGTTTTGTGAAATCAAGAGCAGACGGCTCCCGCTTCTTAGATTTAGGGTGGGGAGTCGCCTCTCGCCCTTGAACTGGCTTCCTCTTCAGTGAAGTGGAAGGTTTTTTGGCCGACTGCTCTTTGACTGAAGCAGGCGGTTTTTTGTTGATCAACTCTTGGATCTCTCCCTTGAAATCCCTCATGAAGGTCATGAGTTCGTTCCTTGTGATGGGAGCAGACCCATCAGTCGGCTGTTGCCGAGCAAGCGGTGCGCCTGCTGGCTCGCTTCCTGTCTGAAGATACTCCCGTTCCCTCATTTCAGTATGACGGGTACGTCGGGCCCTTAGGGTCCCGTCTGGAGCTGTATGAGTTTCAACTTCAAATTCACTTTCGGTATCATGGTCCGAATGAACTTGAGGGTCGTCTAGGGGACGCCTCTCTTCTGGAATCGGTACAGACTTGGATGCCATCTCTGAAGTACTCTCCCCACAGACGGCGCCAAATGTTTCGGGGTTTTCTGATGTCCTGCGGGAGAGTTACAATTCCGAGACTGGAACCGGACGCCTGTACCTGCAAAATAACGGAGACTCCTGAGAGCTCCGCCTCCAACGGTCAAGTTAGTACCTGATCAAGGAGTAATCAATACAGAAAGTAAAGTAATGAGATCTCTCTAGGTGAGAGTGCTTGGTGTTGGTAATCTGCGTCGTTAGCGAGATTAGCCGGTTGTTAATAAGTTTGTTCTTCTCTGCTTGATCTCTTAATTATTCGGTTCTTTTCCGTCGTGTGATTAATGAGGATTAATCAAGTATTTATAGCCTTGGGAAGCGTGCAACTCTCTAGGTTTAAGGTAAACCTAGGGCTGATCGGGCCTCTAGACTGAAATGGGCCTTGATGGCCGGTTGTCCCATTTGGCATGGGTGGACACGTGGCGTGTCTTAAGTGGTCCGTGGAGGACGTATCTGTGACTGACACGTGGCAAGCTCCTGTTGGCCTTCGTGAAGGACACGTGGCGGAACCTGGTTGGTCCACTTGTCAGACGGTGATTGGTGGATAAAAATCCCCTAATCGCTAATAATAATAATCAATAAATAATAATAATAATCATCAATAAATAATAATAATAATAATAATAATAATAATAATCAATAAATAATAATAATAATAATAATAAAAATTAATAATCAAAATTAATAATAACAATAACAATAATAATAATAATATTATTATTATTATTATTATTAATATGTACATTTGTATATACACATATGTATAGTAATAAATAATCAATAAATAATCAAAGATCACTAATCCGTAGTTAGAAATCACTAATTAATAAGTTCAGTTCAGTTCAGTTCAGCTGAGTTCAGTCAATCGGAACAAGCCCTAAAATAGTGCATATAAATAGTCAAAAAATGGCATTATCAATGGAACCATGGAGGGAGTAAAAAAATTAAAAATAAAAATACAATTGAAATAGAGAGAGTAGTTACGGCGGGACATTCAAATATCTAAGACTAGATATATCTAGTTTTTTGTGACCACTTATTGCACCAATTTACCATAACCAGTAGTACTCCCCCAAACAGTAGACCAACCCCCTTCCATCACTTCTTCCTATTTCTCTGCCTACAAATTCACCCCTTCTCCCTCTCTCCCAAACCCAAAAAAAAAAAGTTCATCGTCGGAAAATATGGAACCCTCATCAATTAATCCCAGAAACGGCTACTGCTCCGCCACCAAAACCTTCCACACTCTCCGAGAAAACCCCCCTCTTCCACCTGAATCCACCCCTCTCTCCATCACCGATTACGTCTTCTCTCTCCTCCACTCCAACCCCGACTTTTCTCCTTCCTCCCCTGTCCTCATCGACTCCGCTACTCACCATTCTCTCTCCTACTCCGACTTCCTCAACCGCGTCAACTCGCTCTCTCATTCTCTATCCAACCTTTACAACTTTCCGCTAACTTCCAACGCTGTCGCCCTCATTCTGTCTCCTCCATCGTTCCACATCCCTGTCCTCTACTTCTCTCTCCTCTCCATTGGCGTCATCGTCTCCCCTGCTAACCCTTTATCAACCCAATCCGAGTTGACTCACTTAATTGAACTTGCTAAACCGTCTGTCATATTCGCCGTCTCTTCTATATCCTCAAAGCTTACTTCGTGTTCCTCTGATGTTCCCGTCATCCTCCTCGACTCGCCTGAGTTTGAATCAATGCTCACTCACCGAGTCACCCGCCCTCGAGTGACGATCCCGCAGTCGAATTCCGCGGTGATTCTATACTCGTCTGGGACTACGGGACGAGTCAAGGGTGTTGAGTTGACTCACCGGAATTTCATCGCTTTGCTCGCTGGATTGCACCATCGGAGAATGAAGGCGATTGAGGAGGAAGAAGGGACGAAAACTCGGGCAATCTCTCTGTTCTTTCTGCCTTTGTTTCATGTGTTTGGATTCTTTATGCTGCTTAGAGCGGTAGCAATGGCGGAAACTCTGGTTTTAATGGCGAGGTTCGATTTCGAGAAGATGTTGGAGACGGTGGAGAGGTATAGGGTTACTTATATGCCGGTTTCGCCACCGTTAATGGTGGCATTTGAAAAATCGGAATTGACAAAGAATTATGATCTCAGCTCCCTTGAGTTTTTAGGGTGCGGTGGTGCACCGCTTGGTAAGGAGGTTGCTCAGAGATTTAAAGCACGTTTTCCTCATGTGGAAATTGGACAGGTAATTTTTTGTATTTAAATTGATGTTTTCTCTAAATTCAATTTTAATTTTAAATTCTGTACTACTCCTTATATACTTGATACTAGTATCAAGTTTAATTACTTTTAATCAGTTTAAATGATGTAGACGATCCTTTTGATGATCTAAAATGTGGTCATTCTGGAAAGACATGACGAAATGTTCTATTGAGTTTGGTTTACTTTTGGGATTATTTCTGTATTTGATTTAGTTAATTGCTGCCTTTTTCTTTTGGCCCTGTTACGTGATTAAATAAAGCTAGTACTACGTAATTGTAAAGTACTGGTTTTTTTAAATCTATATCAAGGCTGAATGTCTTTTCAAATACTGTTATTATATACCGTAAGTAATTATCATTGTTGTTAAAGTGATTATTGTAGTAGACTAGTAATGGAGTTTGATTATCAAAAGAAGTATTGCCTGATAATGTTACACTTCATTTGCGTTGGTATGTTAATTAGGATAATGGTAAGAACTGAGATATCTAACAAATTGAACGAGGTAGAGAATAAACGAAACTGTCAAGTTTTGAAAATTAAAGCTATAGAATGAGGAAGAATGGTGTTTTGGAAAAGCATCAAATTACAAAGATGTATGAGTTGGTAGTATGTCAATTCTATAAACCTTTAGAACAATGCATGGGTATGACTTTTTTTAGTTTTCATTAAACATGGATTTGAAGGCAAAGATTTTATTGAATAGTATGAATTAGTCATGGCTCCACCACAAATGGAGGAGGGAAATGCATTAATTGTGAAATTAACATTAAGAGGAGGCCTTAAGCAGGCATTCTTGACTTTCGAGTTCTAAGTCAATCTTGCTACAATGATTGATTGCTTTAATCTTTTAAAGGTTAAATTATTGAGTATAGATGGCATTTTGATTGGATTATATATATTTGACAATTAATTTTGCTAATCAGTGAAGACTTCTAGTAAGAGGAATGGTTCTTTGTCTTGATGTGCAAGCAGGGGAAGTGTCTGACCGGCTTTTATGTCCTATATTGAAGATTAGGTAATTTTAAACCTCCTAATAAGAATTGGAATTGGCTAATCAAGTTAACAAGGGCCATTCCTAACAGCATTAAACTAACTTAAATAGTTTATTTCAGTTTATTTGACTGATTAGATTTATATATACTTTTTGTTTCAGAAATTTGACTATATTCGAGAATCTTATACAAATTAAGCACACCATTAAAATTAAGTGGGTTTAATTTTTTTCTTTTTGGAATCAACATAGACCTAGCTTAAAATATTTTCTAAATGCAAAGAAACATATCAATTAAAATTCTAAAATTCAAATTAACAAAGGAACTTATCTAGAAATTTTGAAAACAATCCATAGTATAGTTTCTAAATACCCTAAACTCCAAATTAATATAATAACTGAACAAATTTAAAAGATAAAAACCCAAGACCTTTTCTTTAGATGCAGTACCAGAATTGTATAATCAATTGGTTATTTTCTGCAACCATTTTTAAACTGATTGTTTTGTATCTATCTTCTCCACTGTGACCTTGGGTGCTCAGAGTTATCATGGTATTCTGAAGCTTATATTCCCATTTGTTTCACATAAAACCCTTTCCCTCGTCCACACGGATTAGTAGCCAACCTTCCATCACAGCATTCCTTCCTTTGATTGAGGTGAAGTAAGCTATGTGTGGCCTTGGAAACTACTTTAATGAACTTAAAACAGTTACTAGGAGTTACATGGTTTTGAAATTCTTCAAAATGATTTGCCATGGTTTTCGACTTTTAAGTTTTTGTTTCTAATGTTTAATCTAAGGTGTTTTGGAAAAGATTAGATCTTCCGGGGTTAATTAGAGAAGGAAGAGAAGAAACTGAGAGGAGAGTAATTTTCAAGTTGGGATATTCGTCTTCTTTGTGGGTCAACAATTCAACATTTGTAAATATCATCTGCATTTGTCAATTCTCTGCGCATAAATATATTACTGTATAAAAATTAAATTTACTGTAAATTTTGGTAGGACGTGACAATATTAAGACACCTTAATTTGCATAAAAAAGACACCTTAATGATTTCTACTAACATGACTGTACAAATGTTTTAATATTTTTGGGTATAAGACTTACCTTGTAGATGCAATTCCAGTTTGTTGGTTAACATCATTTTTGAGTTATTATCTAGAGGTTTATAAGAAGATTGATAAGGTAAATATTGAAGATTGAATGGAAATTAAATTACATAACAAAGTGTTATGATGAAGCTATAATAATGAGTAATGCATATGGGCAGCACACTTTCCTCAATTGTTGTTTTGGTGTGGCATTGGAGATGGATGTTGAGGCTAGGCTCTAGTATAGTAGTACATATTACCATATATCTTATGTTTCGTGAGATAAATGGATTAGTAGTGAGGTAAATTGTAGAAATGGTGGCACCTGTGTGATATGTAAGTGATAGTGTGGAACCATATTGATATGTTTAAAACCAAATTGTGGAAAACGAATTGATCTTGTTAAGAGGTACTGCCCAAGGAAAGATGTTGTATCTTAGTTGTAATGGTCACTTAAGAAATCAAATAAAGACACGTTCTCACTATATCTCTCTAGTTCTATCCCTTTCCTTTCCTTCCCTCCATGAGGCTCCATCACTCTTTCTTTTTATAAGAAGCTAGTTAAACTTCAGTAGCCATTTCTGAGCAGCCAGCTTCCTTGCTGTTAAGCTAAACTTTTGTAACTTTTCCCTAAAAAGAAATACTTTTAAGAGTTTTAACTTGCTGGTTACTGATTCAGATTCCGCAAGTATAAGGAACTAATTTCATGGGAGGTTCTGCAACTTCAACAGATGTTTTCTTTTTTTCATATTTGCTCTGTCTTCTATTGTAGGGATATGGAATGACTGAGACAGGGGGTGGGGCAGCGTCGACAGTTGGACCTGAAGAGTGTGAACGATATGGTTCTGTTGGCCGCCTACAAGAGCACTCGCAAGCAAAGATTGTTGATCCGTCGACAGGAGAAGCCTTGCCTCCTGGTAAAGAAGGGGAACTATGGCTGCGTGCTCCAACCATCATGAAAGGTAAATTTACCCTGAAGTTCAATGCGTCTCTTGGACACATATAAAATATATTGTACTTGTTTTAAAAGTTGGGAACAAAATGTCATATCTATGAAGGGAAATTCCAACAAGGCTCATTGATATGTTTTATATTATACAAAGTATATTGTTTTTATGTGATCAAGGAAGAAAATCAAGTCTCTTTTAGAGGGCCAACTTTATGTATTGTAGGCTGATAGCAAGCAAGGTGATGGTCAATACAATCAAACTAGCTAGAATGATGGTGCATTTACGTCCAACATTAGCTTTGAAGTTTGCAATTGATTCTTAAAATTGACATCATTGAGTTGGCTCAAGTCTATAAGAATATTATTGGTCATATATTCGATCTCACAGGGGATAACCCTTTAAATCTCTACGGATGTAATGATAATGAGTATAATGACACCTAGGCTATTTCCTCATTAACCAAATTGGAGATCCTTGTGATCTTTGCAGTTTTAACACCATTCGTAAGAGGAGAAGATTCTGCTGAGATAATTAATTCTGCCATGTTCTGAACCTAAAAACATGTCTTTGAAGATCTTTAACTTTGTAGACTCGTATCCAATCTTCATCCTAGTTACTAGACCTATCAACAATCACTTCAATATAGTTGTGTGGCCTGGGCCAATATACACGTCTGTGAGTATATGACCAGGATATAAAGTTTGATAAGTGAAGGTGCATTGTTCTTGGTAGTCAAGGTTTAGAGTTTGCAAATCACTAGTGGCTCTCTTTTGAATACCTTTATTAATGGACATTGCTTTAATATGAAGAATTGAAGAGTGACTTTTTTGCAAGCTTAAAAGTTTGATGCTTCCCATATCTCTACTTTTCAGTGAAAAGTAAAAGGGCATCTGACTAAGCATCCCCATATTACAAACGTATTACTTTTGTAATATGCTGCTAGTAAAAGGCTCGTAATTACAGTTTCCTGGAAAATTATCAACTTCTGGATCATTTGAAATTGTTCATCTCGTTCCTAGAGGTCCTTATCCCTTAATTTCATCAAAATGGCTCACCACAATAAACAATCACCACGGGATGTGAAATTAGAAATATAGACATTAAAACATATCTTTTTCAAAATTATAATTTGGTCATCATTAGGTTTAATGAATAATTTTGATAGGGATTTCATTTGAAGTTGGAATTTTTTTACTTCTACTATTTGTTCTTTTGTCTTAAAATACATTTCTGTTCATTTCAATTTAAATGCAGACTTTTGCTGTTTTGCATATAGAAGATGCTCTGGTTGCTAAAATTTCTTGGTTGTCTTAAAGCGACCATTTCTATGTAATGAATTTATTTTCCTTTTTATCAATTGATTCTTTTTTCCTTGTTAGTTTACTAAAAGAAGCTCTATAAATTTTCTGATCATTATTGTGCACTTAATTTACTTCACTCATGTAGTTTCTGGAAAGCCTTGGGTACTCCTAAAGGCATCCTTATCATTCTTTATCTCATGGAAGCTCTCTGGAGTGGTTTAGCAAATATTGCTGTCATCTGTCAATGTTAACATCATCATTTCAGCTCTCCTATATTTCAATTGGCCAAGATTGATGGCTATATTTTCTTTAATTGATAATGTTAGCTTTAACTGTTACTAATTTATGCAATGGAAAGGAAAAATTTGTCTGGTGTTACATCATTTTATATTAAAGATGATTTGTTAGACTCTGATGTTTGTCTAATAGCAATTGTAACAACTGCAGGTTATGTTGGCGATAAAGACGCAACTGCTGCAACCTTCCATCCAGATGGGTGGTTAAAGACTGGCGATCTTTGCTATTTTGATTCTGATGGATATCTGTACATTGTTGACCGGTTGAAGGAATTGATTAAGTACAAAGCATATCAGGTAACAAGATAGTCATTTAATGACAAGGACAATCATTTCAACTTTAAAACTCTTCTATATCCACTGGATCATATCTTTTTCAATTGCCAGGTTGCTCCAGCTGAGTTGGAACGTTTGCTATTATCACACCCAGAAATTGCTGATGCTGCTGTCGTTCCGTAAGTTGGTCATAATCCTATTGTGCACACATGATCTTATAGTAGAAGGGGGGGATGGATGATTATCAATGATTTTCAATTTACATTTTACTTGTGTTGTGCTTGGAAAATCTTTCATAACTTTATACCACAGGTAATTAATTTGGTATTGGGCTTCAAATGTCTTATATATTCACCTGAAATTAACATTTTAGTTAGATCCCCTTTTTTGAGCCAGGCCCAATTGGTCACTTGTGTGGAATAAATCATGTTAGTTGTTACAATATAAAAAAAAGGTATGAATGTATGATAAACCTTGTTTGTGTTGACTGCAGTTATCCTGACGAAGAAGCTGGAGAAATACCCATGGCATTCGTAGTCCGTAAACCTGAAAGCAGCATTACTGCGTCTCAAGTGATGGATTATGTTGCAAAAGAGGCATGTTCTTTCTAAACTGATAACAAACTTGGCATCATTTATATATATTGTCAAAACTTTATGCAAGGGTCAAAACCTGTAGCCATTGTATAAAATTACTTAGGTACATCTTGAAGTTCTGTTGCAGTCATAGTATCGTATTCTAGATTTACATTCAAAAACCTGTTTTCTATTTAGCAGACTATAGGAGGTCATTCCTTTGGCAGGGAAATCTGGTGGTGTTGTGTCATAATAGTGCATCTGTGATAAATTGACGCCCATGTTACTGATTGATTTGAAACACTACCAATCCTTTAGAGGATTTACTTTGAGTAGGACAACTTATGCTTTGCATGTAACGGAAAACACATCTTTGCAACTGTAGGCTGCATACATGACACCCCTACTACCCCATTGAGCCTTGTTGTGGCATCATCACATTGGGGTGGTTTTTGTTTTGAAGAAAACCGAGAGCCAAAATTCTTTAATCAAGGGACAATTTGTCCATTAGTACATACTAGGAAATAATACTTGGACAATGATTTAACCAAACTTGGGCATTACCAAACAGCATAACTCTAGCAAGGTGATGGGCTACAAAATTACCCTCCTTTCTAGTATAGGACCACTCTAAAAAACCAAAATTCGAGCAAGTAGACAAAATATCACCCAAAATTGAATCAAAATTAGTGAGATACACATGGAGAGACAACGAGTGGTGAGGGTCTGACAATCCGACTCCATTATCATGCTCTTAGCTTGATCCCATTTTGTTTAGCAAGCTGTAAGCCAAATAATGATGCCTTCCCACATTGGGGTAGTTTTATTCCATACTATAGGTGCTTTAAAGTTTCCTTGTAAGAGCGAGGTTGTTGGTCATACAGTTATTCACATGCATAGCAAAATGGAGTGACATTATTGAAATTGTGAAATTGTTATAGTCTTATAGATGTCTTTAACTTTTGATTAACAATGGAGCGTGAACATTAGTGAAATTGTGAAACCTTATAGTTGTGCTCTCACATCTGTGCAGGTTAGTCCATATAAGAGGATACGCCGTGTTGCTTTTGTCGGTGCTATTCCAAAGAATCCTTCAGGGAAGATCCTTAGGAGAGAGCTCGTCAAGCAAGCTACAGCTAGTCCATCTAAGCTATGATTAAAAAATAGTTCCAGCATCCTACCTGTATCAGTTATAGTTTTGGGCTGCTTAATGTTGCTCATTTAATTCAAGGTTGTCCCCTCCCTGCACTTGTATTTATTAATATGATGAACGGACCAGAGTTGCTATCAGGTAAGCTTGGTGCGAAAATAATTGAGTTATAGCAGAGCATGAGTGCAACTCTTTTGTGCAGGGGGTGATATATTCATTGTGAACATTTTATGAGCATGAGTTTCTGCAATTAAAACCCTCTAATTAAGTTATGTGTTGAAACTCAAATACATTATTAACGGTGGTTCAAATGTATATATGAATTTTCAAATTCAATTTTGAGAGCGATATTGTAAATATAATTTGACGCAAGTTGCGTTTTTGGTGGTATAATTGATACATTTGACTTTTTCAAAGCATTGACCATCTTTTCTTACTGCTACTAAAATAAAACGATACAGTAGTAAGTAAAGTTGTTGGATTTATCTTAATGTTTATTATTGAGATGTCAACTTCATGATTAACCAAGCTAAGCTTGGTCTAGTCAAGGTTGAAAGATACAATTAGGGGTGCTTATCGAGCGAGTCGAAACAGGAGCTGAAGGGTGCTCGACTCGACTCAAAAACTTTTTACATGTGCTCAACTCGTGCTCGTTAAAGTTTCAAGTCGAGTTGAGGAGTTCACGATCTGCTTGTTAAAGTATTTACCATTCTATAATTATATGCCTTTATTTATTTTTGTTCACTTTATATTGTTTAATATATATATATATATATATATATATATATATATATATATATATATATATATATATATATATTATGAAAGATTTACTCTTTCTCGATAATATAAATTAACACTTATTAGTGTCAAATTTGTCTAAACTTGGTAACTTTATTTGTAAATTCTATATTACTCCCTCTGTCCATTAATACAATGTCTCTTTTGAGCATTTATTCCCCACATGATAAAGGAAAAGAGGCATTGTATTAAGGGACGGAGGTAGTAATAAAATATAAACAAATTTTTATATGCGGCCTCTTGTACCGTGCGGCACTTGAGTTTCTCTGTCAGGGATTACTTGAGTTTTCAGGGTTACTTGAATTTCTCGGTCAGAGATTACTTGAGTTTTTCGGGGTTACTTGAGTTTCTCGGTCAAGGGTTAATTGAGCTTCCGGGTTACTTGATTTTCTTGGTCGGGGGGTTACTCAAGTTTTTGGGGTTACTTGAGTTTCTTGGTCAGAGGTTACTCGAGTTTCCGGGATTACTTGAGTTTCTCGGCCAGGGGTTACTCGAGTTTTTCGGTCATGGGTTATTCAAGTTGGCGGGGTTACTCGAGTTTCTCGCTCAGGGGTTACTCGAGTCACAATTTTTTGAATGCGGCCTGGCCGAGAAACTCGATTAACCCTTGACTGAGAAACTCGAGTAACCCCTGACTAAGTAACCTTAACCGAGTGAACCCCTCGAGTAACCCCTGTCCAAACCCCTCAAGTAACTCTTGTCCGAGTAAGTCAGGTAATTCCTGACTGAAAAACTCAAGTAACCCCTGACTAAAAACTCAAGTAACCCCTGACTCAAAACTCAAGTAACCCCTAACAAAAAAACTCGAGTAACCCTTGCCGCATAGTGTTGCCTGCTGCACCAAAAAATTACTGTAAAATATATTATCGAGTTGCTCATGAGCTTATCGAGTCGAGTCAGATCTTGCTCAACTCGTGCTCGTCAACTTCTTGATTCGAGTTTTAACCGAGCATTGACCGAGTCGAGTTCGAGTTGCTCGCGAGATACTCAACTCAATTAGCACCCCTAGATATAATCCTCGCTAGAGACACTTTAGGGGGTGGGGACCCCTTATTCTTATCTCCTTATACTCTCAAAGTGTTTGACTCACAAATACCAGATAAAAAAACCGTGAGGGGTGAGGTATGATAATAAAACTTCATGATTAAAGATATATTTGCATGATTCATACGAAATACTACGAGAACCACATAGAAGTACAGGACTATAGGAGCAGTTGATAATTCAAAGTAATCCAGTCACTTCACAACTAACTTGTGAGTGATGTGACTACAGGGGCAGAGCTTTGTTTAGTTCACTTTATTTTTCTGATTAGATATAGTAAAGTATGATTTGATCTGGTCTGATTTGACTAAATTTTGACTCTAAGTGTACAATAATTTATAAGGAAAAAATATATCAAGTGAAATTTTTTTAGATTCATAATAATTTGTATTTTATTAATATGTAATTTTCACAATTTTTTTCATTACGAAATTAAAGATATTTAGCAATTAAAAACTGCACATAAATCAATGTTCTAATCTGAACTTATTTTTTCCGATCTAATAAGAACTGATCTGAACTCTTTTTTTTTTAAATCTGATATGAACTTATTTTGTCTGAAATAAGTAAAAATAAGTTGAACCCTAACATGAGTAACATCTAGTGCTGTCAAATTTCAAATTGAAACCGTTTAACTGACCGAAACAAACCAACCCAAATGAGAACCGAACCAATTAAAAACCGTTTTTTTGAAACCGAAAACCGACCCGAACCGTATGTGAATGAACCCGAAACCAAACCGATCTGAATAACGCTACACCATATAAGAACCGAACCCGTTAATAAACCGAACCAGTTCTAAAGCGAACTGAAATCAAACCAAACCGAAAAAGAACCAAACTGTTTCTAACCTGAAACCGCTTTAAACCCGAAACCGTTTGAACCGGGATAAAAACCGTTTACACCGAACTGTTAACAACCCGCGACCCGTTTGCACTGAATTGTATATAAACCAAACCACTTGCAAATCGAATCGTTTATGAACCGGACCGCTTATAAACGAATCGGCTACAAACTACTTACTATAAAGAGAATATTAAAATCAAGTTAAAAGGTGTTTTACATGAAATTTAATTATCATAGTACAAAAATTCTTCCTGCTAAACTAATATTTTTTGAAAATTTATTATCGTAGTATAAAATATTTTCCTGCCAAATTATTATCATAGCATAAAATATCTTCCTGCCACTAAAAATCCTCCTCCCATAAACTGAACCGAAAAAGAACCAAAATAGTTATAAACTGAACCGAAAAAGAACCGAACCAGTTATAAATTGAACCGAAAAAGAACCAAACTAGTTATGAACTAAACCGAAAAAGAACCGAACTGTTTCTAACCCGAAACTGTTTCCACCCCGAAACTGTTTGAACCGGGATAAAAACCATTTACACCGAACCGTTAACAAACTGCAACCCGTCTGCACCGAACTGTTTACTACCCGGACTGTTTACAACTCAAACCGAATTAAAACCGCTCAAGAATAAACCAAAACCGAATCGAACCAATAACTATTTAAACCGAACTGGAACCGACCCGCGAGACACTTAAACCGATTTCAAACCGACCCGATTTAATACCGAACCGATTTCAAACCGAACCAAACCCGAACTACCAAACCGTTTTGACAGTGCTAGTAACATCCCATTATCCCGCGGTGTAAAACATTACTCGTAGTACAGCTGGCAATGGGTCAGATCGGATCGGATTATGAAAAATCCGACTCTGACCCTACAAGATGTCGGATTTAATTTGCCTCCGCCTCCGACTCCGAGAATCCGACTTACATTTCCAACCTCCGACTTCGATCTGATCCGACTCCGAATGCGACTTTAAATTTGATTTTGACCTAATTATCAATAGCAACTCATATATAATCAACTTCAAAGACCTATAAATTCATGAATTGAATAATAAAACATCTATAAGTACATAGAAAAGTCGGAGTTGGATCGGATAAGTCGGATTCTAAGTAGACTCCGACCCTCCTTTGAGTCAGATTCGGATTTTTTAAACAAAGTTGGATTCGTATTATTATTTCTCGGATCCGCTTCAAAAAAATTTCTTCGAATCGGATCAGAATAGGGGCGGATTCGAACTGAATTGTCATCCCTAACTCGTAGTATTCATAGTTTCTTACCTGACAAATCACAATAATACCTCTTTGTTATAAAATGAGGTGAAAATATGAGAGATGGAGAGAGAATTAATTATTGTGTTCTCCTTGTATTTCATATAATGGATGTATAGATATACATATATATACAGTACAATTGATAGGGTTTTTTTGGAAAATAATAAACCCTAAAATCTAGAAAGTTTAAGAATAATACAAGGGTATAATGGGCATCCACAAATATATATTTCATAACACTGTCCCTTGGATGTCCATTATCTAAGAATGTTAAAACCTTATTAGGAAAATCCCGTGGGATAAAAACTTAATGAAGGAAAAAGAGTATAACATTCTTTGTAATACGCTTGAGATGCTGCCTCGTTAAAAACCTTACCAGGAAAACCCGATGTGGGACAAAACCATGGTTAAGGGAAAAAGAGTGCAGCGCGTATTTGCTCCCCCTATGAATGCATAACGTATTAATGTGAAATTTTCCAGTGCAATAAATCCCATGCGATATGGTTGGGGTAACTTCTTCCATGTAGGAGAACACCATTTTTTGACCATGACAAATTTGAGAAAGTGACATTTTGATGCATCTCTTGAAGAGATCATTTCTAGTACATTAAAATGTGTTATGGTTATATAAAGTACTCCAGAAGAGTATAAAATGTTGTCCAACAAGATTAGCATGTATCACGATTACAATCAATGCTCTAGTAGAGTATGAGTATTAGTTAATTGTCTTGCCAATTGTAGATTGAAATAAATTGGTGTACTTATATCACATCATATTCATGATCATGCATAAAGTATCACTAATAAGGTGATCGCCAATATTATAAAACTGACCATAATTTTAATACTAAAGGAAAAGTGATTGGATGTAATATTAATAATTAGGCCATCCGGGGTTTAATACATTGCCGTTATGAAAACCTGAAGTTTCATATGATATGAAAGAAATAATGTGCTGACGCTCTCTCATGTTAAATATATGAAATAAATTGAATGGCAAGACATAACATTGAGATTGAGCTATATTTGGATTGTGATTTTTAATAGTTTGTGTTAAAAGAAAAGTTCAAGAGATAATACATTGGTTTTTCTAAATAACCGGTGACCAGAAGTTCACTAGAATAATTTATATGTTGACAAATATTAGGTGACCAGAAGCTCACCACGTACAAGTTATATGTGGAAATTGTAAGTAACTAGTATCATACTATCAATGTTTCTAGTGATAACGAAGATCATCACCTAGTGAAATTACAAGAAAGTTTATATTTGTATAACAATTCTCTTAATTGGG